CACCCACCCTGGGCACACTGCCCTGCATGTTTCAGAAGTTTCCCTGCTTTAACACACCTGATTCAGTTGATTGCAGTTCAACAAAAACTTGTTAATCAATTATACTGTAAGTGAAATCATCTGTGTTGAAGCATCTATATGTGTACTTCACATTCACTTATAAAGTATGAAAAAACTGTTTTACAGTTACTCACTTCAGTTGAGACTAACCTGTTGGCACAATTTATTTAAGTAAATCCAACGCAAACATTTCTATCTATCTGCATATATATATATCTACACACCTAATTCAATTAAAAAATGTGAAAAGACTGAGTTTTTGTAAACAGCCTTTGGCTAAGGCTGCCTAATAGTGGCACAATCTGTTGCGAAAAAAAAGTGATGGCTCATCGTTAGAATAATGACTCAACAAATAATGAGTCATTTTTCAAACTGAGACTGAGTGCATTTTTGACTGACGGAGTAAAACCAGCAGCAGGGTTTTCTGTTCATCAACTTGGAAATTTTAACATCACAATATACAAAACGGACAATTCCAGGAAACATACCTAATTTGGGATTAAAAATAAACAGTTTGAGTCTAACGTAGGTGTGTGACTGAGCCAGTTCCTCATTTGTGAAACGCTGAAAATCAATGCTTTGTGGGAAGAGCACAAAACAAAAAGTCAAAGAAATATATAATTGACCGACAGAATCAATGCAGTCATTCTGCTGAGGAGAGGAAATAAAATAGTTAGGCTGGTGTTCATTGGACTGTTTTCCCTGAGCAATGCATCAAAGAGTTAAAATAAGGCAGACGCCAATTAAATTAGCTTTTACCAACTCTTTTTCTGGCTGCTAAAAAGTCAATTTGTTTGGGTTTTACTTCCAGAAGCTTCTTTATTTAAAACATGCTTTAAGGTATTGCTGCAATTTGGCAGTGAGAATATGCTATAAATTTATAATAATTTATACATTTATTGTATATAGATGGTATTTAAAGGCTGCTGCAGGCTAATCATGACACAAATGCAATTTGACATTCTCTGAAATATAAAAAGATCCTCATCATCTGATTTTTCTTAAATTTGTTTGACATATTTTTTGTGTTTTCATTTTTTTGCTTTTTTGTTTGTCTCTTCAGTGTTTACTTATTTATTTATTTTTTACAGAAGACATTTTAAAATCACCTTGAATATTTCTTTTTTTTTAATGTCTCAAACTCAAACATGTCTACAGCTTTTTGCTCTTTAAAAACAATGGTTCGTACTTTGTAGCACAAAATGGGTAGGATGAAGTTTTATAAAGGCTTTTTATTTATCTGCAAATAACAGATATTGACATTTTTGGCACATTAAAAATCTGCAGAGATTAAATAAATAAATAAAATAGACCAAAAGGGAGTTATTTTTGGCTACAGCCAACTAAATGAGACAACGCTCCAGAGCTGCAGGGAACATCTGATTTACAGGCTTTGATTTATCTCCTGAAAACATCACCCTAAAAAAGCCTTTTAATAAAACTCACAAAGGAACTAATTTATAACAGTCCAAACAAAGAATAAACCTGAATGGAGATTTGTTGCTCTTTAAGGTTTTTGACTATTTAATACAGCAAATTGTGCCTTTTTTATTAAAGAAACAAAAATAAAGCAGTATTTCTAAAAGAAATGTGTGATGTATGATAATGCAAATTATTATTAGAAAAAAGCATGTAAACATGCCTTTTTAATACAAATGAATTAAAATGGTTTAACAATTTTCACTAGTCATTTGTGAAAACATTTAATATGATGACAGAAAACTTTATCCAGAAGCTAAAATAAATTTGTTGTTATTTTTTTCTTTTCTTTTTTAACTGAAGCCAAACACAAAGATAAAACAGAACTTGATTTCTAATTGACTTCTTTTATTTCTAAATGTGAAGCCTTGAATCACCCCTTTATATAATATCTGATGTCATCTCACTCTTTGTTTCTGCAGAACAAGGAAAAATTCTCAAAGTTCTTCACACCAGCAATGAGGTCTTCATCGTCTCTCAGTACTCTCTGTTTCACAATGAGGGACCGGTTTTAAACATGGCTATCGACTCTCAAAAGGTAAGAGTGCTAAGGCTGTAATATGCAATATGATATCAACATAAGGTTTCAGATTCTGCTAATAATACTACTGCTTTTTTATAAAGCACTTTAAAACAGTGCAGATGCAATAAAGTGTAATTTTACATTTTAAACAGATAAAACAAGTAATAAAAACGATTTCAACCATAACATTTTTAAATGGGAGTGACATAAACAGAAGCAATATTTGAGCTGTATCAAAGGCCAGGAAATAAAAACATGGTTTTAGAAGAGTTTTAAAAGTGGACAGTGAATGCTGTGTTTCATTTATGGCTCTCAAGTTTTTAAGCTTTCCTCTGCTAAAAAAAACATTTTTTGTTTTCTGTTTGCCAATAAAGTGATATAATTTTGCTTCAATAAAAAACAGCATTATTTCATAAACCTAGAGCTGATGCAACTGGATGTATTTTTTTAAATAATATTTTTGTATTCTTTCTTATTTTCTCAGGGACACCTGTATGTTGGTACAGCCATGGAAGTGCAGCGATTGCCACTGGCTGACTGCAACCGCTATGGTGACACATGCAGGGAGTGCATCCTTTCCCGGGATCCATACTGCGGCTGGGACAGGGCCAGGAGGAAGTGCATCCCCATCCCGCCTGGATACAACGCCACGTTAGGGTGAGCTCAGACATGACATCATTGCAGCAGAGCTGTCAGCTGTTTGGACATGGACCAATCAGAGACGAGAACCAGCTTTTTATACATTTTAAAAACGTTATTATGGGCATCACATAAAACATGTTTAAATGACTAATACTGTATGTGCTTTAAACACTAAAAACAATGTAATTGTCATGACATTTTATATAATTTAGCCTGTTTGTGTTTCTGAATTTCTCTTTTTAAAACATACAGTATGTACATTGTTTCCAATGTACAAAGACAAAAAAAGCTTTCTCTTCTTTCTCTTTTTCGCTATAATTGTTAAACGATTTCTCTTCTTCTTTTATGTATTAACAGTCTTTATATAAAAGCTCATTACTCATTTGTGAAATAATTTCATGCTTCTAATTTTTCTCTCGCTCTTTTTTTTCCCACTTACAGAACACTTATTCAGAATCTTGATCAGTCGAACTCCTCCATTTGCGGCGAAGCTGCTGGTGAGCCCTCATCTGCTCTCTCCCACACACTCTGTATCTTAATTAATGCAAAATGGAAACATTTCTGTGCAACTACAGCAAAAGAGATGATTATCATTTAATTGAGCGGAGCCTTGAAAACCCGGCAGGGAAAATGGATTTTTTATTTCATTTCTTGTCCTGGTTCAGAGCTCGAAACCCTGTCCTAGCTTAACTAATCAGGACGAACAGCTGAGGTAATCTGGCGTGTGACACTGCATTTAATGTCAGCTGTGTCACTGCTACAACATGTGCTGACTGGTGAGGTTATGTACTTCTCCTAATTGGAGCTGAAAAAGGAAACGGAGCCAGGTTTTTTAACGTCTGAACTGATTTTTTTGAGAAAAGAAATAATCTGACAACTTTGTAATGTACTCTGCCTATATAAAATATTTATTTATTTATTTATTTATTTAATTAATTTATTTATTTATTTATTTATTTATTTTCTTCTATGTCATTGACATGGCTCAAATGGTTGACTTTAGGGGAACAAACCACACACAACTCCTGAGAAGGGACAGAGTTACAGCATTTTAAACCTTTTAAATCATATTATCAGGAGCAATATTATGGGGGGTGGCGGGGGGGTTAAAGAGATCTTGTCAAACTACTACACAAACATAGATACAGACCAGATTGGCAGGTGCACAGGTGCTCACAATGAACGGTGATGTGCAGGTGGTGCTCCGTCGACAGCAAAAGCAGGATAAAAACAATGGAAAGACAGGCTACACACCAAGATTTAAGGTAAAAAGTAAAAGGTCCTTTAATAAAAGAATGGACCAGCCATTAAATGAGTTGCCTACCGGCTCGGTGACTAACGCACCTTCAACAGGGCAAATATCATATGGCTCAATACAAACAAATCAGTACTTAAAAACACATTGTGACGATGACATCACACAACAAGGACCAATCATACAATGTCTTGGTAGGTGGTTGATACCATCTATTGTGAACAAGAGGGAAGACTGTTACAGTGCATCTGGAGGGTGCAGTGGGAGTCTAAAAACAAAATAATCAAAAATAATAATAAAAAAAAATAAAAAAATAAAAAAAATAAAATAAAATAAAAAAATAATAAAAAAAAATCACATGAAACACTTAAAATCTGCCTCATCATTCAAGCCTGGAAACCGGTCCGCCTGGAGCTTAATAATCCATTTCGTTTCTTGTTGGATAAGTTTCCGTTGGCGATCACCCCCTCTAGGTAGTGGAGTGATCTGTTCAATGCCTGTAATGCTTAAAATGTGAACCGTTCCAGGTGAAGTTTTACCAAAATGTTTTGCCATAGCATAATCCGTGTTGTTTCTTTTAATTGCGTTTTTATGGTCCCAAAGGCGATCCTTTGGGACCATAAAAACGCAATTAAAAGAAACAACACGGATTATGCTATGGCAAAACATTTTGGTGAAACTTCACCTGGAACGGTTCACATTTTAAGCATTACAGGCATTGAACAGATCACTCCACTACCTAGAGGGGGTGATCGCCAACGGAAACTTATCCAACAAGAAACGAAATGGATTATTAAGCTCCAGGCGGACCGGTTTCCAGGCTTGAATGATGAGGCAGATTTTAAGTGTTTCATGTGATTTTTTTTTTTTAATTTTATTTTATTTTATTTATTTTATTTATTTTTTTATTATTTTTTTATTTTATTTTATTTTTTTTATTTTTTTATTATTTTTTTATTATTATTTTTGATTATTTTGTTTTTAGACTCCCACTGCACCCTCCAGATGCACTGTAACAGTCTTCCCTCTTGTTCACAATAGATGGTATCAACCACCTACCAAGACATTGTATGATTGGTCCTTGTTGTGTGATGTCATCGTCACAATGTGTTTTTAAGTACTGATTTGTTTGTATTGAGCCATATGATATTTGCCCTGTTGAAGGTGCGATAGTCACCGAGCCGGTAGGCAACTCATTTAATGGCTGGTCCATTCTTTTATTAAAGGACCTTTTACTTTTTACCTTAAATCTTGGTGTGTAGCCTGTCTTTCCATTGTTTTTATACTACACAAACATGTTGAGCAGGTCACCCTGATGGTGCACACAAAATTTGGTTCAGATCGTATCATGTGTGTGATTTAAAGCCAATCATGTGCAACGTGGGCGGGGCTAAAGTAATCTCATCAAACTAACACATTAATATGTTGAGCAGGTTTTCCTGATGGTGCACACAAAATTAGGTGCAGATCAAATAATGTATGTGCACGTTACACATGTGTACCAAATTTCATGATTCCAGGTGAAGCATTGCTTGGGGCTGATTTTTTAAACAATTGTAGGGGGCGCTGTGGTGTATTTAGGCCACGCCTCTCAAAAATTGGACTGCATTCCTGTGCGACCCTGAAAAGGAAGAAGCGTGTACAGAAAATGGATGGATGGATGGATGGATTCCTGTGGGTGCAGATTGGCTGAAATATGTGGAATTTAGAGCCAAACGTATGTCAACAGCCTGATGTGTGTATAACAGTTGTAGATGTACATTAAATGATTTCTTTCAGTTTTATTAAAATCTGTCCAATTGGTTCAGGAGATATTTTGTTAGTTCTACACTTACTAACGGTCAGAAAAAAATATTGTCTCCACTTTACCAGATGATATCTTAATTATTTTCTTTACCCTGCATTATGTCGGTGCATCACATGCTGTTAAAAGTATTCATTTTTCTTTTCTCTTAATTTTAAAGCTTTGTTACATTGTAGGGTTTATATATCTTTTTTGTCCACAGTGGGTTTTACATGCATATTTTGCTTCAAATAAACATGAGACTAAAATGTAATTATCCATATTATTTATTTATTTATTTAATTAAGTTTATGATGGGTTTATCCCACCAGGGGGCCACAGAGCAAGCCCTATCATTCAGCTCATATTTACTGTTTGTACCAGACAGTTCATAATAAAGAATCTGCCTCTGAGCCATCTCATTCAAATGGCGGCTGGGCTTCACTGGTTCATATTCCCAGACAAATTTGCAAGTGATCAAATAACTAAAACCCAACATCACTCATAATGAATTTGGGAACTGGTGGGACTGTAAACCTGTGAATATATAGCAGCTACTTTTTATTCTATGTTGGTGATATTACTTTCACAAAAATACAGAAAACTAGTTGGTGTCCAGAGCAGCTTATAAATAAAAGCACTTGGTGTTGAATTGATGAAGCATTTACATTGCTTTTTTTTTCATGCAGCTCTAAAGCAGCGCAGAACATCTCCCCGAGAAGTTGTAGTGAAAGGGAGAAACACCACTGTGTTCCTCCCCTGTCCCGTGCACTCCTTCCACGCCATGTACCGCTGGGAGAAGGACAACTGCATCAAGAACTACCCCTGCCTCTTCTCTGGAGACTTCTGTGTCCTGGGACCAGTAGTGGACACACCCTTGAAGGACGGTGTTTTCCGCTGCATGGCCACTGAGGATGGATTTAAAGTTGAGGTTATTTCCTTCAGGCTGGTAAATGATGGCAGGCTTCTATCTGCTTCCCTTGCCTCCACCTTGGGGCTTTCGGTTCTGCTCGCCATGGCCACTCTATGGCTTCATTAACCACAGCTAACGCAGATGCTAACTCCTCATTTTTAATGGCTCCCTCTGACAGGATAGGCCAAGAGCCATTGTGAGAAGGTAAGGTTCGCATTGCTCTGACATCCATGGTTGGGTTGTGCACTGATAATTATTCTTTTTTTATTTAGCTTTTTAGAAAAAAAAAAGATTTAAGAAAACATCAACGAATAAGAGAGCAAAAATCTATATTTTTAGCATTTTAGCAGAGGCTACAACATATCTACAGGCAGAGCTGTCCTAATAAGATAAGAACTATAAAATCTGTTCATTAGCGTTTTAACTAAAGTGAGTAAAAGTTTCTGCCATAAACTATCATGTCTTTCAAGTTCAAATATAATTCAATCATAATGAGGTGCTTTGCGAACCTTTCCTCTGACTTAAAAAAAGAAAAACAAACATATCTGATGAGTTGGGCAAAAAAGAAACACCAATACCAGGCCAATTCTTTTAACATTTCTCTATATATTTTGAAACGGATTGATTGTGCTTATTTGTGGATATGTAAGCCTTTAATAATGCTCTTACATGTATTCATTCATCCTGTTAAACATTAATATAGCTCATTAGCACTTAAAAATGTCTGGTATTGAGATTTTTAAAAGCCTTAAAACTTCTGGGACATAGACTCCTAAGCACAATTTTGCAGTCGAGGCAGAATACTGCAGGCTCGGTTTGCACAGTGATTAATGCAGCTGAGTCTAAACAACGTGGCTGGGAGGAAGTGTCAGCTTTTTGACAGGAAGTAGGCGGATGGGCAATAGCTCATCCTCGAACATCACTGTGTCTCAGCACCTCCTTCTCAGACAAGGCAGTTCCTTTTTATCTTCAGAGCAGATGGTATCAGACATCATTATTGTGCCTTGTTCACAGCTTTGTCCATTGATTGTTTTTTTCATATGTCGTTCCTGCCCTTACAATCTGTAATCCTTTTAAGTAAACAGTATTATTGCGACGAATCAACAGTGGAGAGTCTGTGCTTCAAATAAAACAGCTTTTTTTGCCTAAAGTTGTGAACAAGGTGCTATGCTAAAGCCATTTTGATCAAATCAAACTCAGACTAATGGAGACGGAAGAAGCCACAACCCCAATACCAAAAACGTTGGGACATTGTGTAAAATGTAAACGGCATCAAACTACAATGATCTGCACATTTCACAAAGCTATAATTTAATCTCAATGGGACAAAGTGAGCATATCAAATATTGAAAGTAAGAAATTGTGCAATATGTTGGAAACAAGTCATTTTGAATTTGATGGCAGCGAAGTATTTCAAACAAGTTGGGACAGAACCATGGTTTTAACTGTGAAACATCCTTTGTGTGTCAAACTCATTTTCACCCAAGCCCACATGAGCCTCATGGCGGCCCTCACAGGACCAGTTGCTAACTTTGACGTTTCATGTTTAATTTAAACTAAACATAGAAACAAGCATAGAAACAGTGTTTTCACACGTCCTCATAAACAATGAAAAGTGTACAACTGACTGAATGTGAAATAAATAATACAGAGATAATATTAAAAGTAAAAAGTTTTACTCACTGAGGAATTGTGGTGAATAGCTGCCGTCTTAAATTCTGAACTCTCCCATTTCCTACAGGGAATTCCCATGAATGTTTGACATGCATTATGGGAGACATACGTAGTTTACACACAATGCAGGCTTTTAACCAGCTTATTTTGAGACAATAATGCTGTGCTATCCAACTAAATTGCTTAGTATTGTCTTTCCCCTTTTAAATTTATTTATTTTGTTGCATTTAATCATGAATTTAAAGTTTATCATTGACATAAAAACTATTTTTATATTAAGTAAAAAAAGGTTTGACACGTGGTCGAGGGAATGAGGACAACAGGTTTTTTTGTTTTGTTTTTTTTGGCTAGACATTCAATACTACTGTAATTTTGATGTTGTTATGAACTACAGATGACAAAATAGTCAAAGTTTTTCCAGTTTTCCATTAAGTAGCATTATTCTGAAATTGTTCCATCATTTATAGACATTTATAGACTGCACTCCTGAGAGATGCTCGTTTTAGACACAGCCTTCTTCCTGACCAACAGTTAGCTTAGATTGTTGCAAAATGCTCCTGCAACAGTTTTTCACTCATACAATTTATACAATGCTTTTGGAGATGTGTTCCTGCCATAAACTTAAAAACAATCTTATTTTAATAAAATGTCACAATTTCTTAACTTCAGAATTTAATGTTTATGTTTCAGTGCGAATAAAATATGGGTTCATAAAATTTGCAGATCATTGCATTTTGTTTCATTTACATTTTATACATCATTTTTTTCTTTAATTTTGGGAGCTGGTGTTGTACATGAACCTGCATGTTAAAGTTGCATTTAACAGTTTACCAGGAGAAAAGAAAAGGCTTGTATTTAGATTGGAGAAGAATGTTCTGGATTTTTTTTTTTCGCTCCAAATGCTAATTTCTACCATTGCTGCCTACATTTGTAAAAAAAACTGTCTTGATGATTCATTAATTTATGCCATAGTTTCTATGTGATGTCTGACCATTGCTTGCTTTGCTGTGAAGAAAAAAGTTGTTTTTTATACTTTTATCTTTATGCTGTGAAACCTGTCGACAGATATGATGTTTGAGCTCAAACCTGTGAGTCTATTTGACAGAGTTAAATGATTTCTAAAAGACTGTAAAGAGTTTGAATTCTGGCTATTAATCATTGATTCACAGCAGCACGGACAACTCAGAGATCAATGGGTTTAAGATTAAACTCCACTCTGCCAACGCATCTTCAGCATCATACTTCAGTCTTATTTTAGGTCCCCGAGCAACAATGGTTAAGCAGATAGATTAAAGTTGAACATTAAAAAAAGGAAAAGAAGCATTTATAGGCCCAAACCTGGGCAAAACATTTTCAGTACTAATCAGTTGACTGAAGAAGCGGGGTTATTTGGTGATGCATTATGCATTGGATTAACATGTCCTCCAGCACTTTGGAAATTAGCATTCACTAATGGTACATAAAACTGGTTTAGCGGAGTCCTCCACTGTGCTATAAATGTCATCAATAGTTAATTAGACAATGAAGGCGGCTCGTTTTGTATTAAAGAATTTATTCAACGCCGTCAGGGGATACAGACAGTGAGCATGTTCTCCACTGTGAAAACTGTGACAGTGTTGTCTCTTGCTTTCATTGGTTTTGTGCGGCTGCTCTGTCTCCTGACGTGGGCCACCCGCAAAAATATGTACATGTTTTTAACGTTTTTTAAGCCTCATTAACCTGGTGCTTTCTGCTCATTTTCTGCTCATATGCAAAACTCCCCAAATCCTTCTCCCAAATAGCATTTTGTGTCTAACAAAACCTGAGCACTTGTGTATTATCTGTCTTCCTTACAGCCAAAACCACAAACATGTAGGTCTAACATGCCTGTTGTGTGTTTTCCTGTGGGGGGAAATTCATACAAAGTATCAGCTGAGCTGGTAAACTTTTGAAAGTGGCTGCTTTTTTTCTTTCACCCTGCCCAAAGCTTTTGGCAGTAAACTAATTCAACAAACATGTGTTTGAGGCATTTTTATAGAACGCCTCTTTGTGCTGTAAGCATATTTGCAAAGTGCAGGATGTGTTGATGTGATTAGATAAAGAGTGCTCTTATCATGAAACATAAAAACACCTTGAGGGAGTGTGCCAGCTGAAATCAGTCCATCATTTAGCATTTTAACCATCTTTAATCTAACAATAAAGGATATTTTATAGGTAAACTCTTTTTTTTTACTTTAAACATCTTCACTTCATCCAAATCCTTCTTTTGATATAAACAATTCACTCCGCTGCTTCATCCAAACCATTTATCTCTCACTCTCATCTGTCATTGTCAGCCAGTTCAGCAAAGCCTAACAGCTCCAGATTTCCCATCAGTAATCCAGATTGGTGGATCATTTATTTCTTGTATATTAATCAAAGTCACGTGAGATGGGTTGTTTCTTTGTTGCCATGGGGCTTATGAGTGTCAAGTACTGTACATGATGTGTGCCCATGATTTTGTGTCTTGATATTATCAAATTTTAATAGCAATGTGCCAAACTCTAATATATACAAAAAAAAGAAAAAAAAAGATTTATTTATACCCTCATGGTACCATGCCAGACAAAAATCATTTCATGACATATTTTTAAACAGCAAATATCTATAGTGCAATAGATATTCATGTAACAAATTCATTTTGACATGTGTTTCCCTGAACATGTGCAGTGAAATTAATAAAATATAAGTATAACAAAATGATTGACTGTTTTTATTTCGGAGCATGAGGTGTTTTAGGTAAAAATATCATGATGAAAATGCTGCCTAATGGGGGCGTTAAGGGTTTAAGCTAATGAAATAATACCCTAATTAATACAAAGCTTTTATATTTTATTATGCTGCCATTTTAAATGAAATCTATGAATTCATATCCATTCAAAATCCCATTAAGAGGAAAATTGCAATCTGTAATTCACTCATTAATTCTTACACAAAGGTAAAAAACCCAAATCGAAAACCCCGATTCCGTTTACATAACAGACTTATTCATTTGTTCAAATGAATGAGAAATTTTAAGGAAGCTTTTGCAAATCTGCACACAGACATTTTAAATTGTTGTATAGGAGGAAGGTTGTGAGAATAAAGAGGCTGAATCTATTAGTCAATGTTTGAAGAAGTACATCAAAACAATCAATTATTTCTTAAAAAAACCACTGACATCACTTCCAAACCCCCTTTCTGGACTGTTGTTTTTTAATTAAACATAATATTTCAGTATTTTTTTAAAGGGATCGGCGATTAGTTGTAACATTAGACTTTATTTAATAAACATATATTTTAACTGTAAAATAAAGACTGTAAAAATACTGTAGGCTGTTTAGTTTTTATCGTTTTTAATCTAAAAGTTAAAAAATATATTACACGGACGGGGCTATGTTATTACCACGCAAAGCATTCTGGGTAAATGATGGCATCAACTAGGTCATTTGTACAAGGCTGCTAGCGAGCTATATCCACCCTGAAGGTTAATCTTGGACAACATCTGATGATCGACTCTTTTAAATGAAACCAGAGAGCGTTGACAGAGACGAGAAGGTAGAAATGACTCAGCCTGAAACTGAAAATATGGATGGAGGACCTCAGTTTAGCTTTATTGTCGCGCTAGCACTGAGCTAGTGCTTATAAGGCAGTATAGCATCAGTGCTAGCACAAAGGCTAACAGGCTAAACTGGGGTTCTTCCATGAAGCAGCTCTGTTGTCCTTTCATATTTTCAGTTGTAGACTGAGTCATTTCTACCTTCTCCTCTCTGTCAACGCTCTCTGGTTTCATTTAAAAGAGTCGATCATCAGATYTTGTCCAAGATTAACCTTCAGGGTGGATATAGCTCGCTAGCAGCCACGCACCGGTGACCTACCCACGTCATCATTTACCCAGAATGCTTTGCGTGTAAATAAAATGGCTCTGTCCGTGTTAAAATATATTTTTAAAAATTTACAAAACTAAACAGCCTACAGTATTTTTACAGTCTTTATTTTACAGTTAAATTACATGTTTATCAAATAAAGTCTAACGTTACAACTAATCAGGGATCCCTTTAACAAGGAGATGTATTGTAACACTTCTCAGGAGGCTAAGTCCTAAAAATTGTAAATAGTATTTAATTTAACAAGTTTTATCTTCAAAAGCATCTAAGTGTAATAAGATGATTCACACACTAAATGAAGTCTATCGAGGGAGCTGATACAACGCAAGAGCGCTAATTAGTTCTGTCAAGAAAGATTAATTTACACGTTTCTTTCACACTTCTATAAATCCATCATTAGCACTTTCTAAATGACTTCTCGAATGGCTAAATGAAAAAAGTCAGACATGAGCTAAATGTTTCATTGGCTTGAATATCAATAGCACCTTAGGCCATTTAAAGCATTAACAATATCAAATAAAACAGCAACCATAACTCATAAATCTTTTTTAAAATATCAGTTCAGTTTGATAAAGCAGGTTTTTTATTTAGTCAGTTTTCACTTCATTTGTCACACATAAAAAAATATTAAA